TCTTTTTTATTAGTAATTGGATGGATAATTTTAATTCTTGAAAAACAGTATTAATGCAAATAAAAGATGTTAATAACAAAATTCCCTCTGTGCTACGTTTTACGTGTAAAGCCATAAATGTAAATTTTTATATAAGCATCAGTTCCATTAAGAAGAAAATATCCAAATGTCAGATACTTTTCTAATTGAATGATTCATTTTATTATAGAAAGACTAAAATGGTATATTTTTCAATGGCACATGATTTCACATAGACTCGTAATTAGTTTTCAGGACTTGTTCCCGATCACTTCCAGTTTATGACATGTTTTCCCTTCTTTCTGCCTCTTACATTCAAAAAGTACAATTTATCCTCTAAGTACATGGCTTTTTTATATGGCAAGTTTTAAAAATAATGCACATCAAGAGCTCAAAAGCAACTATCAAAATTATTAAAAACTGACAGCTTTCTAGAAGTTGTTTCTGAAGGTGTTCATTCCAAAATATACATATCACTGGCTACAATTAATTACTCTTGGCTATGTTTATATTTCCATTGTATATTGAAACCTGGGAGATATGTCCCCATGTCTCTACTTTCCTAAGCTTAAGTAAAAATAAAGTGCACTATTTTAACTGTAAAACACTCCTGTGGTTTTTCCTGCATGCTTTTTACACTTCTTGTTTTTGTTTCTGTTTTTAAAGATATACCATTCACATACATAACCTAACAGAAATTGAGATATCAAAATAGTCATTTGAGGACAAGTGTGAGAATATAGTTTCAACCTGAGTAAATTCCAGTTTTACCATACCTGACAAAGCAAACTTTTAAAAGGCCACAGTCTTGCATTGGTATTAAAAAATTATCTCATACGTTTTATTTTCCTAAGTGATTAACTGAAAAGGTGAATAAGCATAACACATGTGCTTCACTTCTGCTTTGTACTTTAAAGTTAAAAATTACTACAAAAACAAAACCACATCTTCCCTCTTTGCTAATTAACTGTGTTGATGCATGGAGTGAGCTTCCATTTCTCTCCATTACATGTGTGTACAGGACCAGAACTGCCAAGGGTAGTTCACCAAAATCGTGCAGCCAGAAGGAGAATTCCCTAACTGTCCTACCAAGGTCAGTATTCAAGGCTAATTCCCAACAAAGCCACTTTGGGTTATAGGATAATTTAACCTCGGTTTCCTAACAGGACATCACTTGTATAACAACCGGGAAATGACACACTGGAGGTTGCTTCAGAATATCCAGCGTCAACACTAATATCTAAGTTGTTAATATAAATTATGTGACATAATGTTGCGCAATATTTATTTTTGGTTTCTCTCATGTATTATACTCCCTTTATTTTGTCACTTTCGCTGAGATACAATTTTTAAAGGCCATTTCTCTGGTTGAAAAAAATAAAGCTGATTTTAGTTCCCCTTATATTTTATAGAGACAACAATTAAACTATATCGAGTGAAAATGTGAGTAGTGTTGAATTTTCATAGAAGCAAATAAAGGAAATCCATTAGTAATCCAATGTCTCCGAAGAAAGCTGAAGAGCAAATGGCTTGGCCCTCCATATCCCGAATCCTTTCATCGCCAAACACGCATGCCACTCTGCTCAGTGATTCTACTTATTCAGCCCACTGGTAAATGGAAAATGGTTTCTAGAAGAAAACAACACTGCAGAAAATGACAACGCAATGCTTCGGCATGTATATGTTCCAACCTCCCGAGATAAATGTCATTGTCATGTGCCACAAACCTACTAAGAAAAAAGAAACAAAAAATATAAAATATAAAAATGGAACTCTGAAGAGGTAACTGAAATTTGCCTTAGTGCTTTAGCACTTCTTAATAAAATTTGTTATGAGACAATGCCCTAATACAGAACACTTTATGGAAATAAACACGCCTCTTACATATGTGTTGGACTGCAGAATTTTGCTGTGGATTGTGTTTCCCACATTTATTCCTCAGTATGAGACTAACTGACCCAGGGTATCGTGGGCACACCCTTGTACTGTTTCAGTGGGTTGAGAAAAACGGCGGTTCATCTTCTGTAATCTAAGTGTTTTGAGTGGTCTCGAGTTTTGCACTTTCGTGTATCTGCATTTTCCAACTATCATAGCTTCCTCTGACACTGTATTACTTGGAGAATGTGAAGCCCTTCCAACAACTAAGAACTAAATAACATTATTACACCATGCTATTCTCACACCCTCTGAGCAAGGAAGGGAGAAAAAGCTGGCATTGATACCTAGATAACTTTGTCTGTTAGGGTTTCCCTTCAGATTATTTGTTAAAAGGAGTTGTTTTCCTGTGCTCTGCACTGCCAGGGGATTGTCATAATTTGCCTGTGAGCATTGCTTGAATTCTTAGTCATTGGAATGGAAACTCTCTTGAACAATAAAGTTTTAGGGTGTGCACCAAGTAGATGCCCTTCTTAAATGCCATGAGATTCCAAGCTTTATTCTGTGTTTGTCGACATTATGTAGTGCAGCTTTCACAGGAAGCATTATTTCATGTGTTTTTAAAGTGTTATGCTGCATGTTCTACCAAAACCAAAAAAGAATGAATAAAAATGTGTGCATGTATTAATTCAACAATAGGTCTCATATATATATATATATATATAAATACTACTCAGCCATCAAGAAGAACAGATTTGAGTCATTTGTAGGAAAACAGATGACCCTTAAGACCATAATGCTAAGTGAAATAAGTCAGACACAGAAGCTTAAATATGACATAGTTTCTCTAATATGAGGAACTCAAAATATCAATAATTTGAATAATAATACAAAGATGGTCAGAAATAAGGAAGTAGTGTTTGTGGAGATGAAAACAGATCTGGGAAGAGAGAAGAGAGGAGTGGGAAGAGAAGAAGAGGAAACAGAGATGTTGAGGAAGTGATGTGTATAGGTTTCAATTTTCCAAGATTAATGCTATTGCTGTGTATCTCAAATGTATGCCAGTGTAAAGCAAACAGATAAATATGTTCAATAAAAACAAGGAACTCTGTGATCTGCTGAATTATTTCAGTCCAAAAAAAAAAATCCTGAGCACCACCCTTACAGTTGTTAAAGTAATTATTTTAAATTGAAAATATTATTAAAAGTCCTTTCGGGATGGAGTTTCTTTGAAGAAAGTTGATGTCAGAGCAGCAGAGATTCAGAGCCTTTGGAAGGCACATCAGTTTTTGTTTTGTTTTGTTTTTCTTTGCTTTGCATGGCATCAAATGAGTTTTCAGCAAAATTCCTATCTGTGTACCTCTTAGAGCAGCCTGAATGATCTCTTTCATGGGTCACAGTTTCTTCCTAAGAGAAGTGCTGCTACCATGTGTATGGACAATGGTTCCCTGAAAGAGTCACAGAAATGCCATCTGCCAGAGCAAGTTGTGCAGGCTATGCTGACCATTTGGACATAAAACAAAACACATCAGAATCAATTGTACATAACACCATAATGTCACCATTTTATTCTACCTTGTTATCTCTTACTATTGAACCAAAATAAATCAAGATTAGTTTTACTTGAATGAATGCCACATATTTCAGTGAAGTAATAAATGAATACACTAGTCAGCCTTTCAATTGCTGAAACAAATACCAGACATCGTAGCTTAAAGGGGTGAGGACTACTTCACTCATGGTTTCGGAGGAGTCAGTCCGCAAGCAGCAGGTCTGAGGCAGAAACGCTATGGTGAAGGGCTGTCGGGACAAAGCTGCTGAGTTCATGGGAACTGGAAAGAAGAGCAGCGGAACGGAGCCAGAGAGGAGAGGACCAAGGGCCAGGGCAGGACCCAGGCTCGGGCCTCCAGGACCCACCTGGACACACCAGAATTATAATTTATCGGTTGCTCTCAGGCCAACCAAGTCAACACTTCTCCTTAACTGTGCCAACAAGCATCATCAACACTTTGAGTGCTTTGTGAAACTCTGTGCTGGACCCTCACTGTGCCACCGCCACTCCCTCCTTCTCTGCCCTGCCAAAATGCACACCCTACAGAGCAGTAGTTTCTGGGGAACAAATTTCCTCCTCTTCTCTTCCCTCCTCCTCCTCTTCCTTTAACTCTTTCAGGCTTTTATACCATGTGATCATCTTTGAGCTTTAAAAATATCAGTGTAGGGCTGGGGATTTAGCTCAGTGGAGCCGCCACCTTCCTCACAAGCACAAGGTCCCAAGTTCAATCGCCAGTACAACAACGATAAAAAAAAAAAAAAATCTCAGTGTATTTTCAGGGCTATTTTGCTTTATAAGGAAGTATATAAAAGAACATTTTTAAATATGTCTTTCAAAATTAGTATAAAGTATAAGTTTACAACTCTCTCTGGAATCAAGATTTACTACTCTTTTGAGAGGATTATCTAATAAAGATATTCAGTGTTCTTTGTGTTGCAGAAAAAGAACAACAGTAGTTTTAGCGATCAGAAATACATCGTTTCAATTGCAAAGGCACTCGTGTGAAATATATAACAACACATACATGTACACGCATACTTAAAAAGTCTTAGTGATAAAAGACAAATATTTTCAGTCTCTTCTATATGACATTAGGATTATACATGTTATTTATTTCAGTAATAAATTATATCTCCATGATGAAAATTTTATTCAGCTAAAACACCTTGTTTGAATTATTGCTTTACTATTTGGGGTCAGTAAGAAACATGATTAGCAGAGAAATAACCAAACTAAGTGATTTAAAAAGGCAAGACATTCCATTCTGAAAAATGCCTATTCATCTTCAGAAACATCTCAATTAATTTTAGAAAAAGCACATTGCATGTTGATTATCATAATCAACAATTCACATCGATTTTAATTAAAACACAAAGGCCCATTTCTGTGACACAGAAAACAGATCTCTGATGCAGAGATGTAAGTCAGGACACCTTTCCAATTGCCTTCATGCAACGGTACTAAGGTGACAAGAGCGCAGTGGATCTGCCCACTGAGGAAGGGATTTGCTAACAGACTGACTACTGGTGACTCGGCAAATCACATGGGAAATTACCTTTGAGAGGTCCCCAGCCTCCAAGTAGAAGCAGATAACAAACACATTCCACGTAACCCAGAGGACCAGCCAGACAGCATACTGTGGAGAGGCAAGAGAGACATAACACATAATTAACTTGGAATCATTTGAGCAAGATTCAAACAGAACTTGAACTTCTGAACTCCCAAGTCATAAGATTAGTGGGAAATATTAGATATTGCATCTAAGGAAAATGACTAGATATATAGTTAGCTATTTATATTTTCTATTGCTTGAGAGGAATTTATGTTAAATAACAGATCGCAGGAAGCATTCAAATTTGCTAACTATTGCAAAATATAAATACATATCACAAGTATTGCAAAATATAAGTTCATATCACTAAACTTAAAAAAAACTAAATTCTATAATTATTTGATTATTTTAGAAATATAATGAAGAGCCAGGTGTGGAGGTACACGCTTATACACCCAGCACTCTATGAGGCAGATGCAGGAGGATTGCAAGTAATAATAATAATAATAATAATGATAACAACAATAACAACAACAACTATAAAATGATAATAATAAAGGCCTTGAGGGTGTAGTTAAGTGTGGTGATCTTTGGTTCAATTCTCACCAATGAGGGGGAAAATTTACCTATCTCTATAACATGCTGAGTGATATAAAAGTAACAAGGCAAGAAAAAGTTGTACCTACAGGTTTCAGTCATTTAAGAAAGAAAGAAGGGGAAGAGGAAGAGGAGAGGGAGAGAGAGAGAGCAGCACTCATGCAGATGATAATGTTTTGTCATGTTCTTTATTTACAGTGAATAATTTCCCTATTTTATTTATGGCAGAAAGCTAAATAAACTACTTGCTATAAACTAAAATAGCAACATAGTAAAATGTTTGGTAAGATCTGATGAAAGATACTGAACTAAATGCACCAAATATCCTGGAAAGCTTGTCACTGGTGGGTACACTTCCTGATACACCTGAGACAAGGCAGTGCTGCCTTTCTTATATATTAAGTTAATTAAATGCTAAAACTTTTTATCTGCATATGTGTGTAATATGTCATACTCATGATCTTAATCATACTTATTTATTTATTTATTTATTGGTACCAGGGATCAAACTCAGTACCTTGTGGTTTTGAGGCAGGTGATGGCACCATTGAGCTAAATCCCTCGCCCAATAATATATATTTAATATAAAACAAGAATTTGGTGTTTTCATCCTGATCTAGACATCTTCTATATTTTGTTGCTTACATTTACGTGTAAATATTGATGTAAACATATTTGGCTTCATTTTTCAAATTTAGCTAATGATTTTGTTGAAACCTTTGAAGTTAATAATTTTCTATAAGAACACACAAGGTAACAGGTCACGTACACATTAATCGCACACAGAGATTCAGAATTTGCACCACAATGTCTGGCTTTGCCAGACAGTTAGAAGTTCTGACTTCTAACACAGATGTTCTCACGACTTGGTTTCAGCCAAGAACTCACAGGGCTTGGGTGAGGGCGGAAAGGCAGAAGGTGGGAAAGTACCCGGTGCAATGCTTGGGGTCTCCATGCGGGTGGCCATTTCAGTGCAATGACTATGCTACACCATCGCCTCTGCACATCCCCAAAGGATATTTAAAAATGGATTGCCCACTTTAACTCATGTGAAATATTGATGCATGAAGCCGAACTTGCAACCCGGACTTATTTCCTTACTGTAACATGTTCTCTCCCGGAGAAGAAAATAAGAGCCTTTTAATATTTTAATGCCAATATTGACAGGTAGGTGGCATTTAATGAAAAACATTTTTGATTTGATTTCATTAAAAATAATTTATATTTCATTTTAGCATACTACATAATTATCAAGCATTTTCCATATCTTGTTGTAGGAGCTGCATTTGATAATAATTATTGGTAATGATTCTGTGCCTCTCTTTTATCCTTTTTTCCCAGAGTAACCCATCATCAATAGAAGTTATCTATTTTAAATTATCTTTTTATTTTACTTATTACCTTTGCCTTATTTAACTTTCTTTTACCCCTGTTTTTCTTTCTCTTAAGTTCATTTTGTTGTTTTTTCTTCTCTTGCTCTTTTCAATTTAATACCTAGGGTTCATCTGAATTAAACACCTTCCAATTGGATTTTGCCTCTTTGCCTAATTATGGTGGAAATTTTGCATCCCTTTGTAATTTGGCTTGCATTGTTTTATTGAATAAATTCTATTGATCGCAGTGCTCTTAAAATGGCTCATCCTAGTTATTTAAGCACTAGCTCATCCCCAGTTGCTGCAGCTACTATGGGTGATAGAATGGACCATTGTTCGGTCTGAATAGAATTGAAAAGGGTATTTCGCCCGGGAGAGATAGCCTAACAGGGTAGGAGCTGGAGATCACCTAACTCGTACATTTCTGTTACAAAACTCATCTTGCGTTAGCCTCCTGTTTTTATTTTTGCAAAAAAGGTTCATACTTTATGTTACACCCAGAAACACGTTACACGTGATGAAAGAGAAATCCTATCGAGTTGATAAACATCCCTGTGTCTGCAGTTCCAAGGAAAGCACCCAAGAGGCTGGTTTGACAAGAATCCCCAACTATCAGTTAGAACAGTAATCGAATCATCATGACTTCCCTGTTGTATCTGTGACTCTAATGATAAAATCAAATTAGCCAAATAAGACACAATTTAGTTAAGGCTGTCAATCGTAATAAACCTAAACACTGGCTACATTCAGATCCATGGTTACACAGTTATACACGGTCTGCCCAAAAATGTACACAGCCTTCCGGGAAAGCAAAACACCATCACCAGATGGTGGTACCCTCCATGGGGGACCATCAGTGGATGATATGCATCACAGAAAACCCACTACACTGCCACCTTTGGAGAAGAAATGTGCCTTGCAGCATTTCAATAACCAAGGCCACCCGAGCAGCAGCTCACTGCACTAGTGACTGGAAGTTCACGGCCACCACTTGGAGCACCGCCTGTCTCTGTAGAGGCCAAAGGCAACTTGAATTAATCTTATGATGCCTCACTAAATTTAGTATTAACATATCTGTACAAGTGCTTCTTTTCTTGAAGTGTGTCTACATTTTTGGCAAACTCTGTATTATAGATAGTGAGGGAAACTAGGTGGTTTAAAACTAAAAACCTGGCAAGTATTTTATTGGAAAATAACAAGATGCATCCTAATGACGCTGCCAGAGCTTAGGCTCTTCTCTCTTTGATGGTAAAACTGCCTACAGTTAAAGTCTATACGTTTGTGGATTATAAAATATATTTGAACTACAAAAGGATGTGAATTTTAGAATAGTTTTGCAGGTTTCATGTACAGATACAAATTCAATGTTTATTTATTGAAATGATATTAAATTTTAAAGTATGTTGAGAGAAACTGAACGCTATGTCATTGTATTTCCAAAATAGTGTCTAGAAAAGTTGTGGGGAAAGGAGGCTATTACTGAAGACAAATAAATATTGATATCTTTCTCACTAATCAACAGTGATTGCAAAATCAATTTCAGGAAAAAATAGAATTTCTTTTATACTATTACACTGCAGAGGCAAGCATTATTTGAAATGGTGATTTAAATTGATAGTTTGCCTGGCCTTCTAATTTCTTTAATTTTCCTTATGCCTGCAGAGAGAATAACATGTTAGAATAATGTAATATTATGGAGTATTCCATTGTTTCAAAGGAAATCCTTTATATTTTTCTTCATGTATTTTTTAATGCTGCAAGGCTTCTTGAGCAAAATGTTACTCAGTGAAATATTGAAGAACAACTACATTATTCTTCTAATTATGTTTCACTTTAATTTGTATCTTTAAAAAATTTAAGTGTGAACAAATGTTTTATTGGTCTCTGAAAAAAAGTGACTTTACTTAAAACCCTCTCTTTCATTTTGTTTATTTGTCTTCCTTTCTTTAAATATTTAGGCTGCCAATAGCACTGCAGGGATAATTTGTTTTTGTTTAGACAAAAATGCTGGTAATACAATGCCTGCTTGGACTGTCAATATATTAAACACATACACACACACACACACACACACACACACACACACATATATGAGTGAAATTGAATTAGTAAGTTTCTCTTAAAAGTTTCCGAATCTAGAAAACTATTACTTAGCAATATTAGCACTGGAAGGTGAAAGAGGAAAGCACAACCAGACTCCTTGTCATATGGGTCTTTAAGTGCTGGGTCAGAGTTAGGCCACGGAGCACGCATGTTTCAGCTGAGTGCAGTGAGGGCAGCCCGTGCTGGGGAGCTACCGAGAACGTGACAGGGTGTCACTGAGCTACTCTCTTGATTCGAGCTACATCTGTGTTGGATGCGATCAAGGCGATCCATGGGAATGTTATCTGACACGATTATCTGTACTGTAATGCCAAGCCGCAGTCAGCGCAGCGATGTCATGGATATCATACTGTTAATACAAATGTGAAGATACCATCAGATCTACGAACTGTTCCTGAGATGCTTTCATCAATACAGGACATCGTTAAGGAAATTTCGTTAAGCAAAACATTAAAAAGGTTGAGAATCGTTAACAGGTGTTATGAACACTGAAGATGTGCTAATAGAAATGAGTGGATGCTCATAAAGTAAAATTAGCATTCCTGGTTAAAAAAAAAGGAAATACATTCATCTTCTGTTAAAAGTTAATTATATGTTAGCTTAATAAACTTATCTACAGTAGTGGCGTCGTGTAATCTCTTCAGGTGCTCTTTTCACTTCTTTATCCATTATGATAAAGAGCTAAATAGATACAAATAAGGCAATCTATTTCCTAAGGTCATCTCATGACCAGACGTAGTCTGCTTTATGATACAAACCCCATGTTCATACCCACACATCTTGTCACATCTAATTCATGTAATTATAGATCATGCTACAGATCAAAGATGAAGGCAGATTTTTTACCTTTTTTCAAGATAATCGCTGTTATCCAATAAAGATATCTCGTAATCTTTGCATAGACATCCTAAAATGCATAACTTTTAGTTGATTATAAAATAAGATACATCATTTTCCCCATTAACAGAAATTTCCTATTGTAGAAAATATTTGGAATCTTTGAACATCAGA